TAGATGGTGTTAATTATATGTAGCAAAGAAAACCCACAGATAGGTATATTTATGTTTCTTATTTCATATTATTATTTTGCTAATTTTATTGAAGATTTTTACAATATTTAATATGAGGTTTTCCATTGTAATGATACCGTAAATAAGATTTTAAATCAGATTAATTTACCAAAAACAAATAATTAAAGGAATAATGACATATAAATAATATTTCTTCCATATAAAAGAAGTCATAATATTTTTAGTATTAAAGTAAAAACAAAAATTAATTAAAAGCCTTAAAAGTTGAAAAAGTTAGTCGCTCAATGTTGTAATAAAGCGTGCACTTTTGTTGCAAGTACATAATTAAATTGGCACAAATGTCTGTAGCCTATACGTGAAAGAATACTTAAAAGTTTTTTTTTTTATTGTTACATTTGGTTTGAAGTTTTTTATTTAATTTTTTTCTGTTTGCTTTTTTTAATTGTGGCTAAAAACGTGAACACTTTATTATATAATTGTTTAATTTCTTGAAATAAGCTGTTTTTATTTTTTTATTTTTTATTATTTTATTATTTGATATATCTTGATATTCTATATAGCGCACATATATGAAATTTGAAACCTACGCTCTATCTCTATAGAATTATTTACTATTTATTATATAAAAAATTATTTTTATAATAATTTTGAAATTATATGTGTGTAAGTATGTTCAATGTAATTTATTTCAATTAAAACTAATAGTTTTATTTATTTTATTGCATTTTTTTTTGTATTTTGGTTTGTTTTAATTTCAAATTATTGTAAATTACCCTTGGCTTATTTTTTTTTTCTAATTTAATATATTTAATTGTGTAATGGTGTTCATTCAGTTAAAAATAAAAAATAAAATTAATTTCTTTTATTTTAAATTACAAATTTCCTAAAGTAAATCACATAATATGTGTATGTAGATATAATTATTTATAAACAATAAATTACTTATGCATACATGCCAATTTGAAATTCAAAATGTCTTTATTTAAATTAAAAAATTTATATTAATTGCCTTTTATTATCAATATTGTCTATAATTATTGCACATTATACTTAAAAACTTTAATAACAAAATAACAGACAATACATTTAATATTCAAATAAAAGTAATTGAAATATTTCAATACTGACCCTGACAAATTGTACATATAGGTGAGAATTCAACGTAAATATAATTATGACATTCCATTTGAGGGAATAAAATATTCTTAACGTATAGAAGTTGTGATTTACTCGTATAACACTCGTAAAACTAAAAAAAGCTTGTAATATAAGAGTAGTTGCAAGGAACTTATACACGCTTATTCCATTAGATTCATTCACATTTTTAAATGGAAATTAAACGTCAATTTTTCAATTTTTAAGTATTCCTGTCACAATTATTGAACATTGTAAACCTGTTCAATAGCTTTTACAGCACCGGAATTATTTTCCAACTTAAGAACCTTTCTATTAATTTTTGTATGAGTATTGAAGTTGTAGAATATAATATGCTCAAATTTATATTGAGGCGAATCCACACAGTTCATAAGGTTTTAAATCTTTGTACGGTGTAAGCATATTTTCTTATTTTATATTTTTATTTCAGAACAGATTTACGACGAAGCCAAAGGAACGATTAACGAATTCAGGCTTTAAGATAGAAAAACTAAATTACAAAAATGCTTGGTTCTCACTACAAAAATTTGCTTAAAATTTATAATAAATCAAAAACTGAATTTTCTTATTTAATTTTTCGACTGAAAATAACTATTAACTTTCAAATAAAAATTAAACTCAAAGGTCATTGACCATTTATTATTTCTACAACCATTACATAATCTCAATAACAATATCAAACAAACACCATAAAATTTGATTTTTTGCAATTAAAACTGACACACCTCCAAAAATGTTTTTCTTCTGTATACTAACAGAAAGGAATTAAAAATAATATACAAGGTTTTATGAAAATATTTCAAGGTTGTTATAATTGCAGCATAATTTTTTTTCCGGTTTAATTTCAGAAACCAAATAGGTACAAGAAATGTTTCAATAAAAAAACAAAATTTTTATTTAACATTTTCAAAAACCGATATAAATGTATGCAAGTATGTGAATGTTAAGCATAACAAGTTGTGCTATTAATGTCAAAACTGAATAATCCAATAAAAAATTTAATAAATTTTTAAGCTGGAGAACCAAAGTAAACCAATTCTAAATAAATAAAATTTCGCAGTTGTAAGTTATAGTTATATGCTTAGATCTTATTATTTTCAGTAAGATGCTAATATTTTTATTCCCATGCTTATTACAGAAATGATGAGATAATTATATGGGGCATATAGTTGGGTAAGCTACACAAACACGATAAAACTGCGACGATTTCTAGATTTATTGTAGTCAAATTGGTTTTAACAGCCAAAATGAAGTCCACTTAAATAAAAATTGGTAAAATAAACTTCAAAAATACTCAAGCTCCAGTTACATAGGAGTCTATGCACGTAAACTATTGTCAATAATATTAAGTACTATCAATATTTAGAATATAGTTTAAGCGTTACGGACAAATCTTGTAGGTTTCGAATTTGGATTAATCGAAATTTTCGAAAAAAAATCTGCGTAATACTTCTACATATCTACACAATCTAGAAACTTTTAAAAGATTGAAAACTTTTAAAATTAGGTTTGAAATTTTTAAGGTAGTGCATAAACTAGGAAGTCAATAATTACTATTTTGCATTCTTTGGCGAAATATCATGTGTCAACACATAAAAAGTAATAGTAATTTTAAAAACTTTTGCACCGAAACGTAAAGAAAAACAAAAAAAACACAAGATTAATGCAAAAGCACTCCTTTAATATGTCAATTAGATCTAAAAAAAAATTTAAATGTTTCGGTTGATTTGTGCTAATTTATTGGATACCCTATTTTATCTAGAATTCTTTTACTCGATCTTCACTGCTTCAAAATTAGTATTCAACTTAGTTTAGAAGTAGTCAAACAAAAATGCGTAAAACTTTTATTAATTCGACTTATTCGAACACTAAGAAATTTGCAAAGTGAAGAAATTGTAATATAAAAAAAAATTCTACCAAACATTTCAAGAGAATTGTAGTAAATAAAACCTAGTTTCAAACCAAAATTTAAATTATCAACCAATTTTAATGTTAAGAAAGTTCTAACAGTTAAGAAAATTATGCTTTTACTAAATTAGATTTAGTATATTCCCAAATAAAATTTTTAGCAATATCAACTGCTCAAGCCAGATGGGTTTCATTAAAATCTAAACGTCTTAGTTAAAAAAACCAAAATTTTGATGTTATTCAAAAATTCAACTCAAGTTCACCAAAACTATTTACTCTATACAAAAACTTGGTATTTAATCCAAAAGAATGGTATTCAAAATACATCACCAACAAAATCGAGTTACACACTTATATCTACATGCAGGGTATAAAATTTTAATAGTGAATGGTCATTATACATGAACTCGTAGACGCCATACACGTAAATACAAATGACTTTCAATATTGTTATTGCGACAATCAAACAGTCAATATCATTTACCAAATCTAATGCTGAATATATAAGATTTATTGCGAAATTTTTGAAATTGTGATTGATATTAGGCATTTTTAGAATTTATTGAAACTCTAATTTCAAATTTATTAATTGTATATTTCGTTTTTGTTTTGTGAAAGGCTATTTAAACTTGTGACATAAGTTACAACTCACGACATAATTATGACTATTACCTTTATCGCAAAATCTCGTTCCCGTTTCCTTAAAAAACTCAATCCTTTCCTTTTTTTTATATATTGAAATTCAACACTCTCGACAATATAAAGTTTTGTATTTGCATATATAATTGAAATTTTAAAATTAATTTGAAACTATAAACTGTTACAAGGTCTTGACAATTGATAATTCGATACCATTCGTTGTAAATTTATTATTTTTTTTCGTCCATATCAGTATTGGATGGTTGGGAATATTTTTAAATTGTGTAAAGGAAAATATCAAAATGTTTAATATTATTAAATTAATGGATGCCATATGAATTGTACTGATAATTTGGAGAGCTTTAATTTATTACAAAATTGTATGTGGATATTCTAAGTTTACTTTAAAATCTCAAGTGTTGGATCTCTTTTTATGCACCGTAGTAATGTAGAAACACAGTGTTTAACAAATAAAGTCGTACTTCGGATGAAAATGAACTTTTCAGGTAATAGAAATTAAAAATTTAAAAATATAAACGGGGATTTCGGCCATTGGACTTTTTTGCATACTTTTTAACTAAAATAAAAAAAAAAGCAAGAATGACTCCCGATTTATAGTTTTCTTGAATTCTCGGAACTTCTTTTTGTCAATTACAGTAAAGCTGCTGAATTTGTTTTTATTTATCGCAATCAAATGTCTGCATATGCCACACTTCATAAAATATAGATCCCAGAGTGTATCATAAAAATAGTATAGCGCATGTGATTTGAGCCTGCAATAAATTTATCAATATATGCAATATATGTATATAGATAAGTTTCTGTAGGGAGGCAATGTCACCAAATTTGAGGATGTAAAGACTTTTTTAACTTTTTGAAATTTTTGGTATAAGTACATAGTAGTGCACTTTCCTTTTTGGGTCGTGTTTCCCGACCCAAAAAGAAAATGAGACCTCAAAGTTGAAATTTCTGAAAGCCGTCTAATGCTTGAACATATGTCTATAGTTTCGTAAACATGTATATGTATAAATGCCATTATTTTTTATTAATTAATAAGATATTCAGAAAAATTCACTTTTCAAAGACATTTCGTAAATACAACAAGTCCTTAACAATTGTTATTTAACGGAAAAATGTTTAAATTTCATATTACAATTATCTTGAACGGGGGTAGATGCAATATAAAAAAATCTAATTTATTTAAGATTAAAACTTAATCCAATTTAAACTGATATATTTTTATAACACAAAAAAAGTTAAAAATTTATATCACTTACCGATACATGGTCCATTGTATGCTACACCAACTGATCTTCCTGTTATACAAACTTGACGATTTAAATGGCATACACTATCATATGTTTGACCATCATAACCACAAACTTGTGTAGATTTGTCCTTACTTATGTTATCTGATTCATTTGGACATGTAATACTGCATTTAATACAATGTGGTAATCCATATTGATCCTCAACACATGTCAGATTATTCTGACATTTAACATTTCTACAAGAAGCTAGATATTTAAGCAAAAGGTAAAAGAAACAAAAAATGAAAAATATTAGTGATTTACAAAAGATTTGAAAAATTCATTTTTTTTTTTAATACAATATTATTTTTGATTTTCACTTTTTTCTTTTGAACATTAATAATAAACAAAATCATGTATTTCAAAAGGTCTATGACGTATTCCAAAAAAAAATGGTAAAACGGCACACGGTACATCATAATTTTTATTTTACTTAATTTTTCATATGTGTATACTAGATAAATACGAGTACTTGTTGTAAATTAATAACAAAATAAAAAAAAAAACAGAAAAAAACATTTAAGATTCTTACGTGATTTGCCACTCATAAAATGTACATGATGTTCCAGAAATTAACACGGTCGATTTACTTTAATCATATATTACATGCAATTTAATTTCATTTCACATGATAAACTAAATAAGATGATATTTATTTCTAATATTTTTGATTTAAGACAGGGTCATTTCAAAAAACAAATTTATCTATTCTGCAATTTCGACAATTCCAATCTGATTACTCTAATGAAACAAAACTGCTATTGGAGCTTGAAAAGCGGAAAAACAAACCGTATTTTCGAAGAAAATTAAAAAACTTATATAAAATTAATAGAGTTGATTAGAAATTATTTACTATAGTGGAAAAATCGCCTCCAGTGTTTATGGTACTTTTGGTTCAACAGTGATATTGAGAGTATTTGTTATTAAAATACTCAAAAAGTGGCAAATACCAATTCAGGTTCTACACACACGTTTAAATTAAATCTGTTATCAGTATTGAGTCTCTGACAGACGACGCATTTATAAAATAATATAAGATTTTATTCTATAATATTAGATATGTGCTAGATGCACAGAAAGTGAAAAAAAAATAATGTTGAAGAATATTGTACGAACATAATTTGAATAGAATACGAACATAACTGTAGTTTTTAATACAAAAATAACAACAAAATAAATACGTCAAAAAACATGCAATTTTTATGAATCGAGAAAAATTTAAATGCTCTTTCAGAAAGTATGCAATATAGCCCAAAGTTTGTAAAATAAATAGGTCTTTTGTTTAAATTATTAATACAAGAAAATATATCCTAACTATTACATGCATTTTATAAAGGCAACAAGAAAACAAGAATGGGCAGAGTTGACAGCGTCCCACTATTTATTAAGTGTTATAACAGTTAATTGTCACACTATTTCATAAGTACTCCCGGTCTTTTATGCAAAATTTCAGCAATGTAACTTCAATAGTTTTAATAATATACGACCAAATAACTTTCGAAGTTTTATGGCAGCTTTTCTATAATTTTCATTTTCATCCAGAACTCAAGAAATTTCAACTAGTTTTATCAAATATATATAAGAGCCCAAAAATAAAATGTTTGCTTGTGCGCAAAATATTTGCTTGTGCAGAATTTCAATACTGTAAGTTCTATAATTTCTGAGATCTAGCCAAATAACAAAAGAAGTTATATGATAACTATCATAAAGGCTCACACCATAACAGCTTTTACCAAACATACTTTCGTACGGGCATAAAAAAGAGCAATTTCGACGTCTAACTAAATCAATAAAGAAAATAGTTGTATTTTTTGATAGTTTACCGCTTTTCTAAAATTCTGCAAAACTTCGCAGTTTCAGAAAAACAAGGTCCGGGGAAATTTTTCCACAAATAAATTTTTTATGTAAAATAACCCTGTTTTTTTTTTTTAATTTTTAAATTAAAAATAAAAAAAAATAATCATTTTAAATAGATATTAAAAGTCATTTGTATGCCACAGTTTTGTTAGATGATTTAAGAAAAAGAAAAATAATAAAATAAAAAAATAAATTAAAATTTAAATAAAGTAATGTACAATATACAAAGAGAACACGCTCTCATAATACTCGCATATAATGAAGCATAAAATTTATATTGCAAATTCTCTGCTCTGTTTTCCTTCTTTCATTTGTTCAAATAAAAAAATAATAATAATTTTATGAGTAGGATGAAATTTATAATTGCAATGTCAAAATGTAAAAGTCTATGTAGTCTATGCCATATTATTACTATTGTAAATAGAGTTAAAATTACTATTTATAGTACATCAGAAATAAAGTTGACAAAATAGAAATGAAAATATACTTATTAATTTTAATTTATTCTATTTACTCATATTGCTACACTAATTCTGGCGTTTACTCGGTAGAATTTTACAAAAGCATTCACGATTAGAATTTACGCCCCATTCTAATTCGAAAAGAATTTTAAATCTGAGAAAGTTTCTAAAAAATTTTCTACCATTTCACATTCATTACATTTTTTAATTGCATGACAAATATTTTGCAATTGTCACAATCATAGTATTAGCGTAATATAGTTTTTACTGATTACAAATAGGAAATGTGCTTTTTTTGAAACAATCCGAAATTAAATAATAAATTTTTTAAAAATTTTTCATTTTTTTTGTTTAATAACACACTATCGTTCTGTATGACATGCATAAATCTATATTAATAATTAAAAGTGTGAAAATGTTGAAATTGTCTTGTAAACATACAAAATAAAAATTCTTCATATTAACCATATTATTTTTTTATAGAAATGAATGTAAAATGTCCAAAATGTCAGTGAAAACAAGTAAATTGCATTTGCAAATATTTATATGTAACACATATGACTAGTTAATGTCGTGAGGTCATTATTTATGTTATAATTTATAAGCTGTTATTAATGTTGTTAAGAATTCAAAAGAAATTTTCCAACTTTCTAATTAAATTTTAATTTTTCACAATATTTTTCGCAGAATCGTTATTGGTTACTGATTGTACAATAGGAAAATTCAAAATTAAGTTAAACAAATCTAAATAACATTATGTGACACTGAACTTTACAAAAAATTAAGAAAGACAAGTCGAAATAAAATAATTGAATTACTCAATTGATTTGCAAATTTATGTGATTTTTTCTTCTCTTAAATGTTCTATAGAATTTTCATAATTTTAGAATAGACAAAATTTTTAAAGTCTAATTTAAAAATCTAGTTTGAAAATTCTGATGATTTAATAAAAAATAAATTTAAATAAAAAAATTCCAAATTTTGCTACTGCAGGCTTTATACGAGTAGTTCTTGCAATACGAGTACATGAGTAATTTATTTTTGAAATTGTATAGGTTCAACAACTTTTCGAACTATAGCTTCAATTGAATCCAAAATGAAATAAGTTTGCGCTACAACTACTATACAAATAAAATTTGGCCAAGTCTAGTTCAATAAAAGTTTAAGGCCAATGCTGGAAAAAACGAACTAATATAGATAATTAAGTAGATCAGCTCTAGATGATTAGCAGATCTCTACAGTGTGGCTATAAAAATTTTTAATACTATATACAGCATGGTAATTTATAGTATATAAACTACAATGCTATAGTTTCTATGGCAAGAATCACAAATTGCTGAATCTTTCAATTTATTGGTTATTAGTGAATATTATTTTAAAAATATAAAAATTTAAATTTGAACTTATATTTAAACTTGTTTTACTTGAAACACGTTTCTTTCATATGAAAAGATATTCCTTAGAAGTATAGAATAAACCTACCAAATAATTACCAATCTTTAAGCTATGTTTAACTATTAATTTATGATTTAATTACAAAGAAGATTTAGGCTTATTCATAAATAGAACTTTTTTTTATCAAATTGTTTCCTTATTTTAATTAGAAAAATATTTAATATTTCGAAATTGACATATAAAACTTAAAATTACAGTTTTAATGTTAACTTGGAATTTATTAATTAAAAAATATTTTTGATTTATAATTAATGGTGTTCAAAGATAGATTAGCAGCATTTTTTAACAAAATAATATTTAACATAGAAATAAATTGAAGTTGCATCATTAATAATTAAAATATAAAATAATTATTACAGTCCTAAGCTAAATTAGAATATTACTTTTCTAATATAAATGAATGTTTATGGTACTCAAAACTTTTTGTAATGAATACAAAACTATTCTTTAATAAACAACTTGCTAACGATCTCTGCCGGGACGAGTATAAGGAGCAGAGGAATGTAAATCTGGCGAACCTTGCGAATTTAAATGCCAGGGACCTAAACGAGTTGTAAAGGACACGTGAAGGTGTGGATATAGAGATTCAGTCTTATCACAACGGACCTACTTGGCCTAGGTGTATCTTCGCATCAATCTAAACCCAAATCCTAACCTTACTTTTGATATTCATACAATAATTGGGTCCTTTCTTTTAAAATGCATACCTTTGACCTAAAAACAAACCGAATCTTCCCTACTGAAAATTTATATTATAAAAAGGAGTTTTTGTGACTGAATCTAATGTGTTCTTCAACTATTTTAATCAATCAATATATTTTCCACTTAATATGACAAATCCAATCCAACTTCAAAAATTAATAACCTTAATTATAATAAATTTTCTGATAATATTGTAACTTAATCAATATTGCAATTAAAAGATTACAGATCAAATCAAGTTATTCTAAAAACTGTAATAATTTACAGATTCAAAATTTCATATTCTTATCTGCATAGATCTACGTAAATTTTGTCGAATAAATAATATTGAATTCTAATTAATATAACAGTTAAAATGAATTTCAGAAATTTAAGGTACAACTCAGCTCTACTCATAATTGTTAATAATAAGCAATTATCAATTTTAATGCAGACAGTACCCCTGTTCGAATATTTATTTTAGATTTACAACCTTTAATATTTGCTATATTATGTTTTGAAAGAAAATTTTTTATACTTTTATACCAATCATATGAAAAAGCACTGTTCCGGGGGGCAATTATGTTGACTTCATTCAATATTTATTTGAAAATGTTATTTTATATTTTAACATATAATTAAATAAAGAATTATACTTGCAATTGAAGAGTAGTAATTGCATAGTAAGTACTTGTTATTCAAAGTTCAAATAACATTTGATCAAAATGATAACCAATTAAAAATTTTCAAGCC